ACATGTGCACACACGCTCGCGCGCCTCAAGAGCAGGGGCCTCAGAGCCACGAATCCATAGGGCTTAGAATTTTCGAAATTTTCCACGCGTGAAGTCAATACTCTACGTATGTATACAATATATCTAGTTTCCATCAGAGTATAGCAATAGCGTAGCGTATAAGACGCTTGACTCAAGAGCCAACGGACTCTGGTTCGAATCTGAAGAGGACTTCTACAGGATTTTTTCAGAGAACACGCATGTGGGGATGACCACACACACACACACACACACACACACGCACATCTCATCCCGTTATACTACTACGTCATAAAGACAGTTTCTACGAGAGAGCAGCAGTAGTACGGTAGTAAGACGGTTTGACTCGAGAGTCAGACGTCCTCGGTTCGAATCCAACAGAAGGCCTTTACAGGGTTTCTCCGAAACTTGTGATGTCGATACTTTCCATATGTAGACGATATAGCTAGTTTCTATCAGGGTATAGCGGTAGCGCGGTGGTAAGACGGGGTTTGACTCGAGAGCCAGAGGTCGTCCCAGGTTCGAATCTAGCAGGGCCTACAGAAGTTTTTCCAAAACCTGTGACATCGATACTTTCCGTATGTAGGCTATATAACTAGTTTCCGTCAGAGTATAGCAGTAGCGTAGTGGTAAGACGTGTGTGACTCCAAGAGTCAGAGGTCCCAGGTTCGAATCCAGCAGAGCTCACACAGTTTTTCTGCAAATGCAATATGTAAATTAAGTAGCTGATCAAGAGCCAGAATTGCCAACTCCTTAATAATGTCGGCCATAATTTGCTTATTTCAAAAGTCGATTAGTTTTTGCCTATGGAGAGGTATGGCCCGTCAAAACATTCCCCTTCCACTCGATCCGCCGGCGCCGGTGGGCGTGGTTTAGTGTCGCCGACGGGTCGAGTGGAGGGGGAATGTTTTTACGGACCATACCTTCCCACATACTATTATTGAGAATAGTACAATTTTGTTTAAGTTAACCATAAACCTTGATGAATTAGACTGAGTGTTAATATTTTCAATTAATATTTTTCTGTATCGTTCATATTTCATTTGCAAGCTGTATCATGGACCAAACATTTTTACCATGTATCACGCATAAATTGTTGTCTTATATCGTAATTCCTGTCAGTGGTATATTAACGACAGAAGAAACTAAAAGTTCTGTATCGTACAATTGCGAAAAGAGGACTATCGTTGTCAATGGTGCACCAACGATATTCGGCATAAAATTGATTCCTAGGTATAATCGCAATACAACGCAAATCCGAGTGTGTTATTGGGAGTACAAATTAGTTCGGTCCGCTTTTTTGTGTTAAAAGATGTATTTATTTCAAAACAAAATGAATGAATAGATCAATTAAACTATTTTCCATCGCTGGCTACTACTTTTTCCCATTTCTCAAGCAATTTTCGAATTCCATCTCGAAAAAATACTCGTCTTTTGAGGCGATACAAGTTTGGAGCCAATTTTCGATATCTACGAAAGAAGTGAACCTGTGACCTGCCAAATCGTGCTGCATCCTTCGGAACAACCAGTAATCAGAAGGAGCAATGTCCGGAGAATACGGCGGGTGCGGCAAAACATCCCATTAGAGCGTTTCCAAATATTTTTTTACGACTTTTGCGACATGAGGCCGAGTGTTGTCATGAAGAATGCCTTTCAACGTCTCTCGGTTTCAGTTCATAAAGCACCCAATTTCCTTGTTTTTGAATAATTCTCATATCTCTCAATCGTACGGAAACGGCTTGTTGAGTCACTCCCAATGATTCTGCAAGCTCCTCTTGCGTTTGACTCTGATCTTCTTCGAGTAATGCCTCTAATTCTTTGTCCTCGAATATTTTTGGCTGTCCAGAGCGAGGCTTGTCTTCGACGCTGAAATCTCCATCCTTGAAACGTCGAAACCATTCCCTACATGATTTATCAGTTGGAGCAGCGTCACCATAAACTTCAATAAGCATTCGATGGGCTTCAGCTGCACTTTTCTTCCAATTAAAGCAGAAAATTAAAACCTCCCGCAAATGCTGCTTGGTTAACACAAAATTCGACATTTTCAACACTAAAAAGCAAGGTTTTTGTATGAAACTCAAAGCGATATAAACTGAATATTATTGGCAGATGTCTAACCTCTCTGAAACCGCCAAAATCGGCAGTCACTATGAACCATTCATAACAGCCGGAGCCATCTTTTGAAAACGGACTGAACTAATTTGTACACCCAATATTTTGACATGCATAAATGTATGATTGACTGACTCTTTCTTTACACGTTTCTTGTCGTCAGAAAATTGGTTCATTCAACCAAACATATTTTCCGTGTAGACTTGAATAAAACGATAGGACACGATGAGTCTCTAAGCGAATTTTATCATATTCTAACAATTAAATATTTTCCTAACGATAGAGTACAATAGAATACAGTGAAAAGTGTTCATTGTACTCTATCTTTACGCGATATCATTTCTTTCGGATCCGATGCAGCAAAACGATAGATTGCGATAGAAAACAATGAGAATCTCTGTAGATCTCGTCGCTCTCTATCGCTTTCTTCTTTTCGATGTTTTCCTTGATCAAAGAACTTTTGAACCTTGAACTTTACAATTCAATATGAGCTATTTGTTGTACCTCATAAAATAATCTCGTAATTGTAATCGCGAATATTCAGCGGCCATGTCGGCGCGAGCTTAGACGCGGTGCGGCGGGATGTAGGAGCGGCGAGGTAAGGACATGAACATTGGCGCGTTGTCCTTTCTCTCGCCGCGCGCCGGCAACAAATCCTTTGTCGACTAGGCAATGCTCTCTAGCCTGAGCGGCTAGATGCTCCTCCCATAACGTCTGAGCGCGCGCTCATTCCTCAGATTTTTGTCACGCGGTAAAACATGTATTTTGATTTTTCAAAAAAGCTACCTTATGATATGGATACCAATCATTCCCCACCCCCTGGTACGCGGGGGTAAAAGGGGGCGTGAAAATTTTAAATTGAACTAAGGTCGAGTGGGGGCTCATTTGAAAGGTCTTTTCATAACAAACACACCCTTAAAATTTTAAGTCGCTACGACTGCTCCATTAAAAATGACGGCCGTTCAAATTTCGAAATTTCATGCACTTAGTGTTATTCAGGATCAACCGGCTACTTAAAATCAGTTGTTCTCACGGCTACTTAAAATCGGTTGTTCTCACGGCTACTTAAAATCAGTTGTTCTTACGGCTACTTAAAATCAGTTGTTCTCACAGCTACTTAAAATCAGTTGTTCTCACGGTTACTTAAAATCAGTTCTCACAGATCTTACAAGGAGACCCTCAGATCTGTTAATAAAGGATTTTGATGGCTCTCGAATATATTGTAGAGGGACCTCCCCTGTGCATGAGGATCAAAGGGTTTTCCTCAATAGGCCTTAGTTTCGGAGAAAAAAATTTTGAAGTTCCACGCGCCATACTCGATACGTAGCAGCAACTTTCGAGTCAGCGGACGTGGCGCAGCGTCTGCGGTTGCGGCTAGTACGCTGTAGGACCCAAGTTCGGTTTTGACCATTCTTTTTTTATCAATTAGCAAGAAATGTTCATAGCATATATCGTGATATTCGTAATAAGTAAGAACTGTGTTATGATTATGTAGTATTTAATATGTAGGCCAATTCTGGGATAGAAAACTGAAATGCGAAGAATTGGTGGAGACAAATGGTATTTTATTATTGTATGCAAATATAGTTATAGTAATATTAAATAATTCTTACATCACAGATTCCTCTGTATTAAATGAACAATTTTTAGGGTGATACTTATCATAGAAACAGGAAAAACATAAATTCACAGAGCACCATGCACATCGTATAAAAGCATTTTCTTTACAGGCACATGGTTGTTTTAAAAGCGAGACCGGAAAACATAAATCATTAACATTCGAAAATATATTTCTTTCTGCATACATTGTGATAAATAAGTAAATATTCATAATAAATAAGAACAGTGATATTATTCATACTTCACTAATAAATCCCGTTTTATATTATCGCAGTCGATTTTAAATATTATTTGTTTTGTATTCAATGTGATAAGCTTTGCTCTACATTCCAATATTTTGATGGAGACAGTATAGCAGAGGATTCAACGTGTTTGAATTTGGTCGTTGGTTTCTCGTTCGCATTCGACCCGAAGCCTAACAAAAAATTCTTTGTCAAAAGACCGTGGTACCTGATTTAGAAAGAGTGGGGACGTCGGCTCCTCTGTTAGTAAGAAGCAGCAGCCTCGTTCACTTTCACTCGTTCAGGGCTCCGAGAGAGAACGATCGAAGCGGTATTGTGTACTGGATAATTTTGATAAAATGGAATTAGACGACAAATTCAAGGGAAAAGTGACAAACGCGTTTAAATATTGTGAGACCTTGATGCAAAATAACAATTTATTAACAGATACACCTCCAGACGAAATTTCTTCTTCTTCCATCTCGCTTTTAAAACATATGTTTGCTGGGTACTTCGATAAATATTCTGATTTAATTGTTTTTTAATCTAACATTTCTTCTAAAGTATATCTAGAAACTATAAAATTATTGCTGTTTGAGTGGCCACAGAGTATACTAGTGTTGCTGTTAACTCGTTAATATGACAGGTGGTCTGTTCTTTTCAGCTGCACTACTGAACTGGTGCAATAAGTCAAAGTGAGAAAAAATATAGTTGTCTCATTCTAACTTATTGCACTAGTTCCGCAGTGCAGCTGAAAAGAACAGACCAAGGTTTTCTAACCTGTCATCCCAGTCAACTTTAACCATTATTGGGTCTGTTCTTTGCAGCTGCAATACTGAACTAATGCAATAACTTAGAGTGAGAAAAAATATAGTTGTCAGATTTTAACTTATTGCATTAGTTCAGCAGAGTGCAGCTATAAAGAACTGATCCTATATCTCAATTCGCAGTGCAGAGCGACGATTTTGACTTATAGATTCAATTTCTACGCGTCAAAATACACAATATATGTAAGTTTCAGCCAAATCAGAGGTGAGGGGCCTGAACTGAATAATTACCAGCAATCTATAAATGCCTTACCATTCCTTGCATCACAACTTTAACGATTTTAAGCCTAACACATAAGTTATTTATTATGATCTTATGAAAATGATAGTAACTTACCCAATCTGCAAATTTATGTGTAGGGCTGAATATCGTCTAAGTTTTGATGTAAGAAATGATAAGGCTTTTATATATTCATGTCACTTAACTCTATCTTGACAGACGTAGCAAGTACGTCGTTATGATATCACTACGTTCGATGTTTGTCACATGATATTAATATAATATTTTTTTCGGCATCTATGATACATATCATGATATATAATGATAACTTATAATTTTCCAGATGGTATATGTCGTAATCGGCATTTCGAAAGGCCTCTGCGTTCCGAGTTCCAAACTCAAATGCAAGCGGCCTTACGAACAGCTAGGGAGCGGCACAGGCACAGAAGACGAGGGACAACGGCAGGAGGACCAAGGATCCAGAGGGACTTATGGGGCGACGATCGTGAGGAAGAACAAGAGGAAGAGCCCGAAAATACATAAAGAAACAAGAAGGAAATAAACGGTAATATGTTGATTACGACAGTTATGATAATATTTATTTTTATGTTAATTTTTTGAAAAGGTAAAAACTTTTGTATTTACAGGGTATTTACAGATGCGACAATCCACGGTCACAGGAGTGAGGGATTGCCACAGGAGAGAGGGATTGCTGCAGGAGAGAGGGATTCCACATACATGCTCACACACGCACACACATACACGCACACACACATCACACGTATTTCGCAGGGTCACTTGTGAAGTAGCGTGCTGCTCCTACGCCTCACATCACACACATACACCACACATACTCTACCCGAAGAAGGTGGAGCAAATCAGCACTTTTCAGTGCCACATTTTTAAGACGTTGACGTTGATACTGTAATATATATGGCTCTAATAAAAACATTTATATTTTTATTTGTGACTCATTTAATTCCTGAAATAAAAAAATTATGGCATTAAAGCGACAAATTTTATTTAATTCTTGGCGTCAAATTTGTGTCAAACTTTGACAGCAAAGTTTGCTGTGGATTTGGTGTCAATTTGGTATCGCGGCTGCCACCAAGATTTGCTATGGATTTGGCGTCAATTTGATATCGCGTATGACGCCAAAGTTTGCTGTGGATTTGGCGTTAATTTGGTGTCGCGTGCTGGCGCCAAGATTTGCTGTGGGTTTGGCGTCAATTTGGTGTCGCGTTGACACCAAGGTTTGCTACGTATTTGGTGCCAATTTGCTGTCGGATTCTGACATCAAGGTTTGCGCTGTATTTAGCGCCAATTTGCTGTCGGATTCTGACACCAAAGTTTGCTGTGGATTTGGCGCCAAGGTTTATCATGTATTTGGCGTGAATTTGTTGTCGGGTTCTGCCACCAAGGTTTGCTTTTTATTTGACGCTAATTTCTTGTCGGATTTTTGTCAAGCCTTGCTCTGTATTTGACGTTAATTTGGCATCAAGTTGTGTACGCAAAGTTTGTTGCATATTTGTTAACAATTTGTCGACATCATTTGAAATACCAAGTTTTGTTTCAAATTTGTGCTATTTTTGCTGACAAAACTTGTAGTATGTGTTTGGAATTATTTGGCATTACAAATTTGGCTATCTGGGAAATGTGATAATTTCACAATAAAACCATAACCATTCATGTCTTTACTAAGCTCATGTTTTGTCTGCAGCATGCTGATATAATTCTACATCAGATTTGTGGCAGAAACTAATCATGTCCCATACATAATTTGTTCGATTTCTGCCTCTAATCTGCTATCAAATTGCTATATCAAATTGCTATTTAGTTTCTGCTGTCAATTTGGTAGCACAGCATGTCAGCAGGTTCTGTCAAAATTTTGACTGTTAGGCAAAACCATTATATAGAATAGACTACAGTTCTTTCAACGAAGTGAAAATTGCAAAAGTAAATAAATTTACTACAATATTAATAAGTTCATTGATCAATACATGGTGAATTTACTCATTTTTACAATTTTCACTTTATTCAAAAAACCGCAATAGATTCCCTAATTTTTGTGCCATTTTTCTGTCATTAAGAATTGAAAGTAGATCCTGCTCAGAATCTGCTTGAGCTAATTTTGGCTAGCTGGGCTTATAAATTGATTTAAGTTATTAAAAAAGAAAGAAAATTGCAAAAATATTCTATTTCTATGCTTCGTAATGTACACAATAGACAAAGTTTACAAAAACAAGATGGTCTTAGTACTCTGTATGTTTGTAAACATTAATCCTTTCTCTTATTTGATGTTATGTTTATTTTATTGTGTCAGATTGATAGAACTTATAAAAGAAGAATAAAGAGACAGACATATGAAACTTTTTTGAAGAGAATGAAGATGGATGAAATAGTTTATCGGATACATCAGTCAACTCAGCGAAACAATGAGAATACTGATGAGACTACTAATTTGAATGAAAATGATGTGCCTGATGATTTTGAACAAGCTAATCCTAGAGCTAATCCTAAAGATTACAAGCTGATCCTAAAGATTATAAGTGATAATGAGGATATGACCATTAATAGTGAGGATGATGATAGTGAAGCAAATACAAGTATTCAATCTAATGTCAGCCTACAAAGTGAAAGGCAGGATGATAATTTAGATAATAGTAAAAATGATAATGAAAATGTTTTAATTATTAATGAGAATAAGGAAGAAAAGTACCTCATTCAATTAATTCGAGAGTGGACTTTGGAGGGGGTATCATCATTAATATGTCATTAAGATATTTCTAAACGTTATCGTGGCGGTTAAATTACCTTAATGTGTATAATAAATACAAGAACAATTCATATTTTTCGCTTCTGATAATCCAATTCAATACCGCCGCAGTGAAATTCATACTCAATATTCAATCGAAACAAATTCATACTCAATATTCAATCGAAATAGAATTATTGATGCATCGAAATTAAATCATTAGTGAGTCGCAATCGAATCATTCATAAGTCGAAATCGCGTCATTATTGAATCGAAATCGATTCATTATCCCGTCGCAAATTCATCGAAAGGTGTGACATAAGTGAATCAAAATCGATGCTTTTATCAATTAGTTTTCGATATATGTTTTCGACGTCGATTTGATATCATTTCGATAAGTCATTTCTCGTTGGGTCCTAACAACACAGATATCCAGGGAACGTCCTGCATACATTCTGAGGATATAGCAATATCCTCAGAATGTTCTTGGGACATTCCCAGAAGTTCTTGTACTGTCAGGGATAACTATTCATTATCATAATAACAGGAAAATATTCGGAACATTTTACATATTTTTTTGACTCGATTGGAAGAGAAACTGTTGTTTAATAGACAAATCTTTTTATTTTAACGTATGCTGTAATAATTTTTGTCATGCAATTTCTCACTTTTGACATAATTAAATAAAGATAGTCTCAGAGAGGATCCATAGAGTCATAATATATATAAATTAATAAATGTCATTAGACGAAATATTGAACTAATATTAACGCTGTACTTACATTTCAGATTAAACAATTGTTTCGAGTTGTATGCGAGGATTTAAAAACATCGGCCCATATTCAGAACGCGCTAACAAAGATATTAGCGCGCTAACAAGCCGAGATGTTAGCGCTTTTATTAGCGCGCGTATTCTCAACGCGATGATAGCAGCGTTTTGTTAGGGCACATCGATAATCACGCGTGTTTAGCAAAATCCCTATTCAGAACCACGAATAAGTCGTAACAGCGCGCTAACATATCAATATCTTAGCAGCACGTGATGAAAGTGGTCAGGGCCATGTATAAGCGCACTAACAACTCCTGTCACATTTAAAGAAAGCAATGGAGTACATTCGCGTGATGAATGATATACGGGAAGTGCAGGATGTTGCACAGTTACGAGAAAGGACGCCGCAAGTTTTTCGTGACAGAATTGATCCGTTTGGAACATTAAATGATATTGAATTTCGAAATCGGCACAGATTGTCAAAAGAATCAGTGCGGTTGTGCGTAGGCTTAGTAGAAGAGAGGTTATCTTCTCAGGCTGGGCATATAAAGAATGTGTCACCAGCGTTACAAGTGCTGATCGCCTTAAGATTTTATGCCAAAGGATGCTACCAGACGGAGTTAGGTTTGTATTATTTAAAATAACACATATATATTTTGCATGGATTCAGTTACAATTATATAACGAAGTAAATTAACTACAATTAAGTAACTTCACCCATATAGAATATGTAATAATAATATATACAAATTCAATAATAATATATTAATGAAAATAATTAAATATATATATAAATATTAATATAGTATTATGTGGGTATGTATATAATCATCAATATAAATTTCTTAACAATAATGTTTATGCAATATATTTTTGCAGGTGATCTACATGGTGTGTCGCAGCCAACAGTATCTAGAATTGTGGCAAAAGTGGCTGAGGCCATCGCCAGTCATTTGCCACATTTTGTACGTTTTCCTGATGCCAGAGAAGTTCTGCAAACAGATTTTTACAACATAGCTCATTTTCCATAAGTAGTAGGGTGCATTGATTGTACACATGTACATATTAAATGCCCTAGCCAGGAACAAGTATGTTATATGTGAACCAAAAAGGCTTTTATTCGATAAACATGCAGGTGGTCTGTGATGCACAGCGTCGAATTCTCGATATTGTTGCCAGATGGAGAGGTAGTGCTCATGACTCCCGGATATGGAATTCAAGTCGTCTGAAGGAGAAGTTTGAGGTAATTATAATTATATAGAATTTACACAATCTTATGTATACTTATCATAAAAATATTCGTATCTCTAATTACATTACAAGAATATTTTGTTTTATAACAAGCATTTCGTATCTATTATTTATATTATAGGAACGCAGAATGACAGGAATTTTATTAGGAGATGCTGGTTATCCTTGCAGACCATACCTCCTAACTCCATTCCTGAATCCTCGAACTCCTACTGAAGATAGATACAATCGGGCCCATATCCGCACACGTCTTACTATTGAAAAAATTTTTGGCGAGTGGAAAGGAATGTTCAGAGGATTACGTAATGACATGCAGATCAGTTTAAGAACAGCAAAGCTTGCAATAATCGCTATGGCAGTTCTCTCCAACATACGGAAACAATATGATAACTTCGAATATGGTAAGCATCGTAAATCCAAATCCAGTATAAACACCAACAGTAACAATACACATCGTTGTTATAATTTCTTGTTCAGCAATGTAAATGCAATGTAATATATATATTATATTGCATTTACATTGTTTAGTGAGAAATTGTAACATTGATATAATATGTTATTGTTATTTAGTATTTAGTGGCAAGTATAATAAAAGGATACTAATTACAATGTAATATGAGTAATGAATATATATATACTGATATTAAAATGAAAACATATGCACTAATAAAAATTTGTATAATTGTATAACATTCTATTCTCTACATATGTAATATGATATATTCTTGTTGAAGAGCCAAATGATGAAGAGGACGACGGTTATAACGAAGAAGAAGAAGGACCTGCTGTTTCATATGCAGCCGCACGACTTGGCGCAGCATTTCGTTTGGATTTTGCACAACGTCATTTTGGCTGATCGTTTTTTGCAACATTGAGCTCATATTCTTCACTGCAACTGTTTGTTGAAAGTACTTCTTTCTACTTGGATATCACGACTCATTTCAATACTGATTTTGAATACAATATCATTTAATATTTCTAATGGAACAGATTTGTCATTAAACATCCTGCGTTCCCCAATAAATATAAATAAATTATACTACATTTTTTACAAAATGTTCAGTTTTCATTATTTCTTACATCCCATACCTTCTATATAAAAATAACAGTCTATTTAAAATAAAAGAAACATTCAGTCTTTCAAATAACAAATTCCAGTAAAAGTTAACAAAAGCAAAAGTTATATAATTTAATTAGTTATATTTAACATTAGTCATTTATGAATTCATATTGGTTATTGAAATTTTCTAATGTTTTCCCTAACTCTATCTTTAAAATCTTTATTTTTAATTGTTGAACTTTCTTTTTTTCTTCTATTAATTCAATAGTTTTGCTATGCTCGTCTTCTAACAATTTTAATTTAAATTCGTGCTCTTTTTTATTGCGTTCACTTTCAGCAAGAATTTTTTCTTTATGCAGGTTGAACATTGCTTCTTCAAATCCTGACATATCTTTCTTCCTTCGCTTTGCAGGAACAACTTCCTCTGAGGAGGCGATAATCAGAATGATGAATTTCTTCTGCTACTTTTTCAGATTATTCTTCAGGCATTAACATTCTACAATTCAATTAATTCTAAACAAAATATGATAACAATAGTATTTATAAATTAAACATGGGATAACGAGTGCATAGCGAATGAGATTGCTGAAAAGCACTGTAAAACTGTTATATTCCACTGTATGGTCTTGCTTTGATCCTGCATGTAATTAACTGGAAACTGGCGTAGTTTTTCTAAAATGATGTACCTAGCCGCAATGATTCGTCCCCCACTAGATCTAGAGAGGCAAGCCCAAACGATGCCCGCTCTGATTTATCTACAAGAATTATACATATGTATAATGTACACATGTATAATTATTGTAGATGAATCCGAGCGAGCATCTTTTAGGCCTGCCTCTTTAAATCTAAAGGGGAGGGGGGACGAATCACTGCGGCTGGGTGTATACAGTTTTCTTACCCTGTAGCAGGATCCAGAAAATAATTGTTTATATTGTGTGTTCCTTCTTTAGCCTGTGGACTGCATCTCTATATACATTCGGAGAGAATTTATTATTTAATAAATTTTATGTATTTTGTAACTTTGATATTACAACTAATAATTTATGATATAGTTTTACCATTGCATCACTATCAAACATATTTTCATCTTCCTTAAAATCTGCTGGAACAATTTCTCTGAGCATATCGTCCAAAGGGGAAAGTTCTGATTCTTGTGGACCACCACCAGTACCTTTTAATGCTTTTCTATGTGCCGTAAAATTTTTTTTCGCCTGTGTTTTCCAACGTTGATACGCACCGCGTACCTCCTTCCATTCTCGCGTAACTCCTATTGCCGATATTGTTTGGGCAATATTTTTCCATTTTTCCTGCCGAGAACATTTATTTTTTACACTATTGCTCTTGTCTTCCAGTATACTTTTATTCTGGAAGACTAAGTCAATTATTGTTTTCTTTTCTTCGGCAGAAAAATTTTCCCTTCTCTTGTCATCTATAAAGCTCATCTATAAAGATACGAACATGTATATTTATTAAAATTATCTGTTGTTAAGAGCAAGCAATGAATAATAAATAAGCAATGTAACAAAATTATAAGAATGAAATGTAAATTAATATAATAAATAAACTTATTATACACAATTTGACAATATATTAGAGCACTCCACTTTTCAAAAATCGTCAACGGACATTTGAACATCGCTGGACGACGCGCGTCTCGTACTCTTGCCGCATCCACATAGTGATATGAAAAGAACCAATAGCTACATACTGCTCGGAAACGAGCACTCTTATTGGTTGTTATTGCGTCTTTAGGTAATAGTGCTCTGTTCTTGCGTTCTGCATACGAGCGCTAACAAACGCACTTACATCTCGCGTATTTAGAAGCGTATATGTCAGCGTATATGTTAGCGCGTTCTGAATATGGGCCATCGTGTATAAGATTAATGAGACAAATCTTCAGCAATGAATTAGCCATGGAATACAGCTGGTATGGAGCGAAAAAGAAAAATGTCTTCAGCAACTTACAATTGTGTAAAGTAATTATATGTAAGTAAAATATACAATCAGAATATACATACAGAATTGTAAATCTTAGTTTTTAATTAACAGCATAATTGATAATTATTTAGAAGAGGCACGCCGCCTCCGATTTTGCTAAAACTCACATGTTTTATGTATTTTCATGTGTAGAAGCCGAATCTGAATTAAAAATCATTGCTCGACTCTACAAAGCGAGAAAAATATTGTTTAAGATAGAATATGATAGGTTAAGAAACTTGTCATTGCAAGGTAAAGTCTGTTCGTTACACTTATTGTATTAGTGTAGTGCAGTATAACAACTAAATCTCCCCCGTGGACGCCATCTTGCTATGGTGGGGGAGCTTGCGTGTCTTAATGATGTACCGGCGGGGGTTTCGACCCCTGGCAGGTTCTATCATGCCGGGGTGGCCTGTACAGAGGGACCAGACTAAGAGCGTCCGTAACACTCTTGGAGAGGCAGCTGCCTCCAAGTTTTATATAGGGACTGGAGGACCATACTTGTACAATCCAAAGGTCCCTAAGGTCCCAAAGGTCGCGGGCAGAGCGGGCTCTTGAGCCTGGTGAAGGCAATCGATCTAGAGGAAGGAAAACCCTGAATTCAAACCCGTAGTTGTGAGGCACGTATAACCCCACACTTTTGCGAGGGGCCAAGTAGTTTCGGCAACCTGGTACGGGGGATCCAGGCGAACACCAGCAGACCCTAGCCTATCACACCGTAACCCTAGGTCATGCCTCTGGGGCCGGGGGTCTTGCCTTTATTGGCCGGACCGCGAGGCGGGTCCTCTATAAAATACCACGTAATCCTACGGTTGAGGTATGCCACGCTTATGAGATGAATGGCAGGTGCGCGACCTGTCGCTAGTGGTTCCTCACCCGTGGAACCTGGCGCACCACGGGAACATGTTAGCCTTACCCCGGGTAATGCGGGGGCTCTATCCAGGGTCGACGCCTCTTTCCTGCCGCACTCGTGGGACCAAAAATGGACTTACAATATTAAAAAAATAAAAACTCCGAGTCTTCGGACTTAAAGCCTTCGGGCTCGCGGCTCTGGGACGGGCGTAGCAGCCCGTCCCAGAGCCTACCACCCCTTGTGGGTGATTTTTCAGAGGTAAGAGTAGGAGTGAAAGAGGTGGGACAAGTCCAACAGGTAGGCGCCTCCTCCTCACCCCCCGAGGAGGGTAAGGCCGTGGACCTTGGAGGAATAGCCTGCAAGGGGCCACATTCAGGGGATCGACCACCGTCCCCGCCGGCGCGTAGCCGGCAAGCCCCCTCGACCGCGAGGGTGGGCAGGTGAGCCTGTCGGGCAGGATACAGGCGACCACCCACCGAGGGACAGTGAAGCTCCTGGGGTCCGGGGCCTCCGAAGCCAGTGAGGCCGCGGTACCAGAGACCAACAGGCCGGGCCTCTCGTCAAAGAGAGAGCCCGCCCCCAGCGAGAAACGGGGGACACGGGGAAAACAAAGGATGGGGAACGGGAGAGCTGAAGAGGGGATGTAACGTCGGGTCGGAGCAAAACCGATGCAAAATCGGCGATCCGACATAATTCTGTCCCAGGACTCCAGGATCTCCATCACGCGGAGGTGTACGGTGACCCTGGAATCGAGGGTTGTCCAGCCATCGATCTCTAGGACCACTAGTGATGGGAGTGTGGCGATCCAAGCCACAATCTCGGGGACGACCAGCGGGGCTGTGAGGCCGAACCGGGCCTCAACACTAAGGCCTCCCAAGCAGCGACGAAGACAGCTGCGACAAGGACGGATGGAGCTGTCAGGAATAAGGGGGGGCAGAAAAAGGACGAGACCGGACAACAACACCACAAGCAGCGGCGGATCGTCGGTCATGGTGGTGATTGCTCCTGCTCCCTCCCTGATGCCCGCCCAGAAGAAGCGTGGCAGGCCACCTACCACGTTCAAGGGAGTGGGCATCAGGGAGAGAAAGGAGAGAGAGGCGGAAGAGAAAAAGGAAAGGGAGCTTATCAGGCTGGAGAGAGAGGTCCGGGACCTCCTCGGCAAGGGAATGTATCGTTCGATGAACGATGCACGCCCGGCCGAGGAGGTATATAAGGATCCCGCCTCCGCCGAGCTCCTCAGGGGGTCAGAGCTGCGGAGCTGGCCACGGAGGTGGGCCGCGCGTTGGGCGCGGTAAAAATGATTGTGCAGAGGTCCCGGACCCTGAAATGGACATTTGTGGGCCTCATCAACCGCGCCGTGGCCACCTCCGAGGCGGCGATGGCCACCCTGATTGCAAGGGTGGCGGCGCAAGAGGGGGAAGGCGGCGAGTACTCTGCCCTCAAGAAAGAAATGGAGGGGCTGAGGGAGGAGAACAGGAGAATGAGGGTCGAGGTGGCAGGCCGAGGAGCTGAGGGCTCTCAAGGCCGTCGACCCTCAGCCTCCGAGAGTACCCCCCTCTCCCCTCCAAGTTGAGTTACAGGAGGAGGAGGACCTACGCGGACGCCACCGGGGGCTCCACGTCTACGGAGGACGAATTAAGGGACGCCTGGACCCTCGAGAGGAAGAGGAGAAAGAAGAGGAGGACGGGGAAGCTTTCCCCAACTCTCCTCTCGGGAGAGGAGGAGATGAAGATGGGGAGGGGGGTTTCCTCCGAGGAGGTGCCGTCGTTAGACGACAACCTCCCGGAGGAGACCCCTGTCCCGATGGGGAGACCGGAAGGGTGAGAGAGGCCCTCGACGCTACCTTGGGCGCTTCGGGCCCTCCTGGCGGCGTCGGGACGGGCTTTGACAACCTGAGGGTTGTAGTGGCCCGCCTCGACGTCGAGAGGAGGGGCAGCCGCGTGCCTGAGGTGGCAGGTGCCTCGACACCAACTCCGGCTCCCAGGAAGAGGGAAGGTCAGGCATCGGAAAGGACTCAGGCTCTGCCACCTCCAGCGGAGCCTGGGAAGGAGAAAAAGGAGAAGGCGAGGAAGAAGAGAAAGAAGGAGAAGAAGAGAAAGAGGAGGGAACGGGAGAGGGCCCTAAATGGTGGAGATAGAGGTCCACCTT